CCCAGTGGGAGACCCACCAATCTCTCTCCAGCCGCTAAGCCTAGTCTCTTGATTTTGAGTTTTGAGTCACAGTTCTCTCCCACTCTATCTGGAGCCTTCTGATGGGATCCGATCCAGAGCAGTTAGTGGTAGTCACACTCCGGCCCCTTAGTCCGTTGGACTCATTGTGCCCATGTGACTTCCCATTTCCATCACTCTTCTTAGTTTAGAATTTTGGGAAAATGTCACTGCTTCCACCTCTGTGTCAAGTACTTATCCTTCCAACTTGTAAAATTATTTAAAGTGGTTTTAGCAAATTATACAACCTGGATTAGGAAAGTTGTGGGTAAAAAATGGAGGCAAATTTTTGGAAGACCATTAACAAATTTAAGTTGCTTGTAGCTAATTCATGGGATATGCGTATTTGTATATTTTAAGGCAAATGAGACTTGGGTTTAAACTCAAGTACATTTGCTGCATGGTTCCATATGCCAGGGGGCTTCAAACATTATGGAAAAGTGCCATATGAATTCCATTTTTCCCACAGTTTTTGGTGCCCTCTCAAATGCATTTGTGCATCTTGTTTTTATCTAGTATTCAGTGTGTATAGTAGTTTTGTGGAAAAAACATCTAAATTGTTCAAATGTATGAGTCTTATGTAAACACCCTAAAATAAGGTGACCAGACATCCCGCTTTTGCCGGGACAGTCCCAATTTTTAACAATTTGTCCTGTGTCCTGCGGCGTTTTAAAAAAGTCCCGATTTTTGGAAAGAATGCACGACAAGCTAGGGGATATGGTTTTCGGCTGCCATGTGGCTATTTCGCCAGGATATGAGTTTTGTCAATGGTTTACCAATGTTAAAATCTGGTCACTTTACCCTAAAACTAAGTACATGAAAGAATCAATTGCCAAAGATTATTACCTTGTTAATTTTTGCGAGCTACTCTTTCCCCCCGCCCCCCTCTCTCTACAAATCTCAGGTAAAGAGGCCCTGGTGGCATAGAGGTTACTAGTGGGGCTGTTACGAGCAAGGTCAGCAGTTCCAACCTCCCTGCCGCTCCAAGGAAGAAAGATACAGGTTTCCGCTTCCATGAAGATTGACAGCTTTGGAACCCCCGGGGCAGTTCTGCTGTGCCCTCTAGGCTCCCTCTGAAGTGGAATCCACTCAGTGGCAGTGGTTAACCTCAGGTAGCACGATAACAGAGAGAAATCTAGAAAGTAGTCATGAGACTTCGCGTTCTCCAGTAATAAAGGATTATCTTTCTATTCCCAGTCAACACAAATGTATCTATTGTCTAGTTTCTCCGAAGCAAACAAAATATCCAAACCCATTGGCATCAGGTCACTTTCAGCTCATAACGAGCTACATCGGGTTTCCTAGACTATAAATCGTTATGGTGGCAGACAGCCTCCTCTTTGTCCCTCAGAGTGACTGGTGGGTTTGAACTGACGATCTTGTAGTTAGCAGGCCAGTGCTTAACATGCTGCACCACTGAGGTTCCTTCCCTTAAATCTTCCCTAAAGATTTAAATTTTAATACATTGCTACAAATTTAGAGGGTCAGTCAAAATGGAAATTAAGCTAGCTTCTACCTTAGGAGCATCTAACTTGATTCAGCTGACAGGTAAGAAACCCACCTGCAAGCTAATTGGACAGTCCTCAGAAGGGATGATAAATCCAGGGTGTGGTATACCACTAATGAAGCACATAACTATCCATTAGTTCTTTAATATTCTTCCCCTTACTATTATCTTTTTATTTGTTTTACCTCATTCATCATGTTAGACTTATGTGTGTTCATTTGTATAATTAAGATCATTCCATACATGAAAGCCAAGATAAACAACCCTTCAGAAACAGTACCGGGAGGGAAGGTCTCCTGAGGGAATGGGAAGTGAGGGGCGGGGTAAGGAGGAGCGGCTGATAGCACTGATGACTGTGTAACCCCACTCAAGGGAGCGAGCAACAGAACTGTATGTAAATGGAGATATTGGATGGTGTAAGATATAGCAAAAAAATAATAATAGTAAAAATAAGGGTTCCTGAGGGGGTGGGGAAGTGGAGGAGGGAGGGGGGAACAAGGAGCTGATGTCAAGGAGTTCACAGAAGAAAGAAAATGTTTTGAAACTGACTGTGGCCCCAATTGTACGATACTGCTTGATGTGATTGAACTATGGAATGTTATATCTGTAAGAACTTCCAATAAAATGATTAAAAAAAAAATCTTTAAAAAGAAAAGGGGCCCTAGTATAAGGTGACCAGATTTAAAGCGGGACACCATTGACGAGGGATAGGGTTTCTTGATTAAAAATTTGGTCTATATTTACCCAACAGACTGTTCCCTAGTTTGTCGTGCATTCTTTCCAAAACTCGGGACTTTTTTAAAATGCCAAAAAGCAAGACGTCTGGTCACCTTACCCTAGTGGCATAGTGGTTACGAGTTGGACTGTGATCCAGAAGATCACTGGTTTGAAACCACCAGCCACTCTGCTGGAACAGGACAGGGCTTCTTACTCCCGTGAAATTGCCATCTCCGGAACTCACAGGGCAGCTCTGTCCTGCCCTATAGGGCTGATGGGAGTCAGCCTCAGCTCCGTGGGAGTAAGTTTTTTGTTTTTTTGCAGTTTAGTTTTCAGATAAGGTAGATGCTGAGATTAAGTCTATTACTTTATATGCTAATCAATCTCTGAGAAGACTATGCTAAGATGAGAAAGATTTGATAATGAGACCATTATGTTATTGGGTGACTATATTCATTCTATTGATTTACCAATTATGTAGCTTTTTCTCTGGCCCCAAAACATGTTCTTAATACTTGTCAATTCCTTTAAAAATGTAATGAAAGAAGGTACTTTTTTAAAAGATTTTTTTAATATACTCAGGTTATGTGTATTTAGAGAATTGGATTCCCTGGTTAATCAAAAATTCTGTTTACCGTATGTCTCATTTTATCTTACATGGGAAAAACTCATTTTCAAGGAACAGAATTAAGCAGCTGTACCCTTTCAATCTATAGTGATTCAGAAAACATTTTAGGATCTTGTTAATTCCTTATAAACAGTATCAACAGTCCTACATTTTATTTAATATGCAAAAATAATTCTGTGTCCTTCAATTTTCTCATTACTTGGATTGTACATATTTGAAGTTACTATAATAGCATTCCCTGGTTTCCATATTTCAGAATTGCCGTTGCCTTCGGAAAGTGTCGATATTATTATTTCTGATATTCCATTTGGGAAAAAGTTTAAGTTAGGAAAAGACATCAAAAGCATCCTACAAGAGATGGAAAGGTAAGATGTTGGATACGTTTCCATAATTTTTGAGCTATTGGGCTTTTGAACAAAATATATCATAGCGCTTCATTTAAGGCTTGACTGCATTGTAGGAATTCCCAGAGATTTTGAAGCTTAATTTTCTAAAGGTTTCAAATCAGACATCTGTCATTGAAATAGTAAGTCCTGATCATCTTACAGTGAATTTTCTTCAGAAAGGAAACATTGATTTCTCTTTTATTGTTGTCTGAAATTTGAAACTCTACAATGGTTTACACTTTGCTACATAATTTCCATATGTACTTCTAAGCTAACCAAAACTCCTACCTGGAATATGTCATTGCTCCTACTTTATAGATGAGGAGCCCAGGGCCCAGATGATTGACCTCAAGTTCACATAACTGCTAAACAGCAGTACAGAGCTTTCCTAGGGGACATTGAGTAATGCAAAAGGGATCACAGCTGCATGATTGGTATGAAAGTGTTGTTGTTGTTGTTGTTGTCAGGTACCATCAGGTGAGTTCCAACTCACAGCGACCCTGTGCACGACAACAAAGCACTGCCCATTGTTGTAGCCACTGTCGATCTGCCCCTGCCCCCGCCCCCCAGGGCATTCCTCTTTTTCGCTGCCCGTCTACTTGACCAAGCATGCTGTCCTTCTCCAGGGACTGGGCGCTCCTGACGGCGTATCCAAAGTGTGGGAGACCAAGTCTTGCCTTCCTCATTCTAAGCAGCACTCTGGCCATACAAATCAGTTTGCCCGCTTAGCAAAAGTATTATTCATGTTAGGGTTTCTAATGTTAATATAAGGAAATATAACTAGAAGAAAATATTTCTTTGAGAGGTTCAGCCTTAGATAATCTTTTAAGTCAGCGGTTCTCAATCTGTGAGTCACAACACCTTTGGGGGTCAAACGGTCTTTTCACAGGGGTTGCCCGAATCATCGCAGTAGCAAAATGACAGTGATGAAGTAGCAACAAAAATAATTTTATGGTTGGGGGTCACCACAACGTGTATTAAAGGGTCATGGCATTAGGAAGGTTGAGAACCACTGATCTAAGTTATATGATAGGGAACCTAACGTATATAGAATGAGGCAGGGGTGAGTGGGTAGAAGTCAGATAGGGGCTCCAAAGGACAAATGGAAGAGACCAGAGTTATCTGGCAAAATGGTGTAAGGACAAGGAAGTAACATGAGGCACAAATTGATAGGTTAGTTAAATTCATGGTTAGGTCATGTACTATAGGTGAGGTGCCAAGTGTAGTCTGGCTGACTTAGGTTTCAGCTCCTGGGAACATCAGGCATTTACAGGAAATACAAACTCCAAAGTCATTGCCATCGAATCCATGCCAACTCATAGGACTGTAAGACAGAGTAATACTGCCCCTGTGGGTTTCCAAGACTGTAACTCTTTACCCGAGTAAGAAGCCCCGTCTTTGTCCTAAGGAGCAGCTAGTGACTTAGAATTTCTGACTTTGCAGTAATCAGCCCAACATGCAACCACTATTAGGTACGTTGTTTGCTAGCGGAGGTGATTTTTGTCTTCGCTCCAGTACAGTCAGGCCAACAGTCACAGACAGTGGGGAAGAGTTGGTCCTGTGTGTAACTCAGAATTGGATTCTACAAGGAAGGATGGGCCATCATAGTTAGTTTGTCACATAGATCGAGGATTGCTGTAGTGGCCTGAGCTGTGTACTGGCAATGCAATTATTATCTCCTTTAATTGATTCAAGTGAACAATTTCACGAGGTCTGAGAATTGTGTTCCCAGAGCCTTCCTCTCAGATCGAACCATGTAAAGCATATGAGTAACATAGGATACATTTGGAAACCTGGTTTGACCATCTTGAATGGGAAAGTCACTGCATACCAAAGAGGCTCAAGGTAGTTTCATGAAAATGTTAGAATTCAGTGAAAACACACTAGGTTTTATACATGCAGGTGGCCAGCAATGGTTTCTTGAGTGAATAGGGAAGCAAAAGGCATGTCCAAGGAACCTCAGAGGGCCTGGGGCAGAAGACTTGGGGTAAAGGTTAAGATCTAATATATTCTGTCGCCAGAAAATGTGGGATCATGTGTATAGTCTGCCCTAGTGTTGAGAACAGGTTGATGTTGTCAAGGATTTTGTCTTGCTTGGATCCCCAATCAATCCTCATGGAAGTAGTAGTCAAGAGAACAAAAGGCATTAGGTAAATTTGTTCCTCAAGGCCCATTCAGAGAATC